TGAAGTACTTTTCAAAGCACGGAACAATGCATTAAACCAGTTTGATAAGGCTGTATTAACACGTACATTTCATACAAAGGCATCGTTCATTAGTAGTCAGATATCTTCATGAACGTTTACCGATATGGATTTCATACAGTAAATATTTCGTTATGTAAACAATCTTTATGCGAGCTCAGACATGTTGGATTGAGACGTACATACACATAGTGCGTAAAGCGGGTTAATGTGTGTTTTTCTAACAGAAAATACATTCTAAATGTTTCATTTTCAGTTTGTCTTGATGATGATATTAGTTATCTTGGTGTAATCAGTGTTGTACAGAATTTTACACCGGTGTGGAATATTCATAAACCCTGGGGCACAGCTGAAGGGTGTATGCATTTTCAACATCGGTGTAAAATTCCGTCCACCCCTGATTACACCAAGATAACGAATTTATTTCTTATGAAGCGTTCCATTTCTCATTTTTATACTGGGGTGTAAAACTGAAAAATGCTTATAAACTTCGAAGACATTATTTCGTAACCCATGTTGCTGCGCCTTGTCAAATATTACCTTTTTTAATCTTTCTTTGTTTTCTGAGAGATTTGGAAAATATTGGTAAAATATTTTTTTTCTTATTAGTTTTTTTTCCTTCAAAAAACATCTCTTTTTTTTTATTTTTGCACCCCAATTTTTTTATTTTTTTTGGTATTTTTTGCAATTTTCATTTTTTTTTATATAAATTTGGCAAAATTATATCCCCAGGGAAACATGTTTCCATCAGAAATTAAAAGAATAATATTTGTGAGGTGTACGCATACCATATGCACATTTAAATTTTTTTTTAATTATTTCAAAAGGTTCGTATTAAAGCTTACAGATTATTAATTTCGTTGTTTATTAAATACATTGGATAAGTCCCCTAGCTATTCATCATCTCAGTAGCCAGTACTTCGGTACTGACATGATTTATAACAAACCTTTCTAAAATTTTAACCTCCAAGGGGGACTGGGGAATAGAAATATGGTCACTTAGGTCCTCCTCCGACCGGCAGTTAAACCCTTGCCAAAGTGGGGCGTCCGTTTGGCTGTGCGGGATGTTCAAGTACACAGTCACGTCCGGTCAGAATAGGGCGTGTAGAGAGTGCCACACTCACTGCACGTTAAGAACCATTGCAACAGCTCTTTTTTTATTAGATATTCAAATGTTAATTGGAATATTTTTTTTTTTGGGGGGGGGGGGGGGGGGTTGAGGCCTCTTTTAGTAAAATATTTGGGTTTTATTGAATTTTTCTAATTTTTTACTGCTTTTCCTTAGTTTTCTTGCTCCTATGTTTTTTCGTCACTGTACTATAAAATTGAGAATGGAAATGAGGAATGTATCAAAGAGACAACAACCCGACCATATATATATATATATATCACCAATCATTAAAACGGTATTGACGGTTTAAACAACGGTAGCATGACATGAAATTAAAAAGATTATGAGTCTCTCTCCTCGGTTCTAAAGAACGTTTTAAAAAGGACCTAATGATTTCGTATATATTCTTATACTGCAAGGTTATGGTAATATGTTTTCAGAACAGAAAGTTATCATTAGATTGAAAAGGGTTCAATTAGCAGTTTTAAACTAGAAAAGTAATTTTTAAGTCAAATATTGTCTTCTTTCTTATCATATCATATTAAAATAAACCCGGACCATTTGTTGAAAAACCTGGACGTTTTAGATGTTGGTCTCGAAAAAACACGGACCATAAAAATCACTGAATTATGAGAGAACTACACGGAAATTATGCGTCGTTTATGCTCAAATATATATAAGAAGATGTGGTATGAGTGCCAATGAGACAACTCTCCATCCAAGTCAAAATTTATAAAAGTAAACCATTATAGGTCAAAGTACGGTCTTCAACATGGAGCCTTAGCTCACACCGAACAGCAAGCTATAAAGGGCCCCAAAAGTTACTAGTGTAAAACCATTCAAACGGAAAAACCAACGGTCTAATCTATATAAAAAACGAGAAACGAGAAACACTTATGAACCACATCATCAAACGACAACTACTGAACATCAGATTCCTGACTTAGGACAGGTGCAAACACATGCAGCGGGTTTAAACGTTTTAATGGTACCAAACCTTCACCCTTTTTCTGAAACAATAGTGTAACATCACAACATAGAAAGACACACTATAAAATATCAACTGAAATAGCTTAACTCAACCAAAGGACATATTAACACCAGTAAACATACACTGAACAAATAAATTTGACCTATGATACAATTTAAGTACAAAATAAATAAACTAAGGGAAGAATAATAAAAGTAACATGGTATACCGCTATGAAATGTTAAACAATTGAAGAAAAACAATATGCTCGAACAAAAATATCAGCCATTTGCAATAACTTTTAACACAGGTAAATGAAAATAATTTTGTTGTTAGGTATACGTGTACAGTTCAAATAGAGAAAGGAAATATTTTTACAAAATAAATGATTTTGATGTTCATAGTACGAAGTGAAAATTTATAGTAATACCAAACACTTATCAAAGCTGGTATATAGACCAGATATAACCCTGAATAACGTTAAATAACAAAAAAGCATTACAATTAGTATCAACATGTCAAATAAACAAGAAAGTACGATTTGAGAGTACTCGCAGGTACTGACAGCTAGTTAAAAGCCAAAAACAATTAATTATAAAAAATCATGCATCAGAGACTAAAATCAACTAAAACACATCTCAGGGATTTAGTATTTTAACGTCATGGACATTCAAAGAAGACATGATTTGTGCAATGCCAAAATTAAATGTATCGACAGGCAGTAGGATAGTTAGGAGTTTAACCTCTTTATAGATCAAAATGAACATGGGTGTGTCTTTATACATCCCGTTTGAAAAGAATACAAATTTAGTTATGTTTTAATTTGCTGATGACAAAATCGATATTAGTGCCAATGTATAGAATTCACAATAAGATGAACAGTCACGAATATAACAATTATATTCGCGAAATAGTAACAAATCGATCTGATCTCATGTAATATCACTCGAAAAAACCTGATCTACACTCGGAAAAAGTGAACCGATTCACTAGAAAAAACACGATCTCAACCGGACACTATACCTACCGTGAAAATCACACTTATTGTCGATTGAAATACATAGAATTAAGAATGGAAACGGGGAATGTGTCAACGAGAGAACAACCTGGTCAGAGAGCAGAAAACAGCCTAAGGCCGCCAATGGGTCTTCAACGCAGCGAGAAAATCCATCACCCGGAGGCGGGCTTCAGCTGGCCCCTAAAAAATAATGTATACTAGTTCAACGCAATGGACGTCACACTAAACTAACAATCAATGTGATCATAAGACAATGACGATAAAGCTAAATAAAAAAAAAGTTGTCTTAGGCTATCCACATGTTTACTTAAATATTCATTTGACTGACATATGTGAATCTGATACTTCTTTGATTATACATATAATACTGCACTAAATCAATTGAGCGTAAGGAGACAATTTGAAAGTTAACTAGTTTTTACAATTTTTAACTGTTGACAGAATGCTTTCATAAAAAGTGCGTTTGTTTGTCTGCCTCATATCTTGACTTACATCTAGAAATTGACAATGAGGGTCGGTTGAAAACAAAACTTTTCGACAAAAGAGATGATTTCAGCTTCCCAATTGTGAACTTTCCATTTCTATGTAGCAACATTCCAGCAGCGCCTGCATACGGAGTATATATCTCCCAATTGATACGATATTCCCGGGCTTGTATTTCCTATCATGATTTCCTTGATTGAGGATTGCTGCTCACAAGGAAGCTATTAAACCAAGAGTTCCAAATGGTGAAGTTGAAATCATCCCTTCGTAAATTTTACGGACGCCATCACGAGTTGGTTGACCGTTATGGAATAACCGTTTCACAGATGATATCGGATATGTTCCTTATGTCGTAACTACAATACCCTTCCCTTTTCACGAATGTGACCTACCGAATTAGACTATTTACCGGATTTGTATTAACATAAGCAACACGACGGGTGCCACATGTGGAGCAGGATCTGCTTACCCTTCCGGAGCACCTGAGATCACCCCCAGTGTTTGGTGGGGTTCGTGTTGCTTAGTCTTTAGTTTTCTATGTTGTGTCATCTATACTATTATTTGTCTGTTTGTCTTTTTATTTTTGGCCATGGCGTTGTCAGTTTGTTTTCGATCTATGAGTTTGACTGTCCCTCTTGTATCTTTCGTCCCTCTTTTATTATGTTTTCTTTTGTAGAGTTTCTCAAACCTTGTTTTCTTTCAAACTAAGGCACACGCAAACACCAGAAGTAATGCTACATTTCAGTTTAAAAGAATCAGTAATTGATAACAGCAGAGACATATATAGGTACTACATATACATGTCTCAGATAAGAGGTAATACATTTGAGTACGGTTTAGAGTAACAAAAAAGCAAAGCAATCTATCGCATGTATGAACATATGTTCATAATGGAGTACATGACATCTTGAATATGCATGAAATAATTAAGACCGAATTCTTCTGTCTCTATTTAGAATATTGTTCCTGATCTTCATTTGCTTTTCACTCCCCCCCCCCCTATTTTTTATCTATTTTTTTTTTGGTTTTTTTTTGCGATAAGAATTCGGTCTTGAAATACAGGACGTTCAGCGTATTACAATCAAACTAAGTAACAAAATTACTAGAAGAAAAAAAAAACAGAACAATATATGAGTTTCAGTAGACATTTTCTTCCTTGGGATTTTCGGTTACTATTAAGTAGTTTGATACTTCGTGTTTTTTACTGACAATCACACGTACACACTTCAGACTCGAGGCGATTTAAAGCTTGTTACATTCTATATAGACATCTGCTATCTTTTTTCAAAGATTTTGACCTCTAGATGTCTTTAAGGTCTTCATGTCGTTGGGATGCTGTTTCATTGGCACACTCTACATCTTCGTTTTACTAATACAAAAAAGTATATTAAAGAACTTCAAATAATGATAATTATGATGTTTTATTTTGTTTTGTGAAATTTCACTCAGCAGCAAACAAATTACATTCATCATATACAGTAGTCTTGCATTCATTTTTTGATTGAAGCTGAACAGTCATTTCGATGTAATCAATGATCAAATAAAGCAGATAAATAATTCATCAGAAGCTTATATACTAAGTATAGATGCAAGCGCAACACATTAATTACGGATGCATTAATATTTATCTGCAGATCATGTGTTATGATTTATACATAAACAAACTAAGAATGGTACTAGTAGGGCTTTGCAAGGTTATGTTGGTTTCCTAACTGATAAAGCCAACTTGACCTTTTAGAATATTTGGTCAAAGTCGACCACGGACATGTTCCACTTGTAGCCACAGTCACATCCTTTTATCCTCGATTGGGACATCACTGAAGGCGAGTTGTCATGAATTTTTACTGGTAATGAGTAACACGATTGATTCCACTAGTGATAGACTCATAGATGCGTACCATACAAGGACACCTAAGATTATTCCCGGTTTTTGGTAGTTCGTGTTACTCTATATTAAGTTTTCCGTGAAGTGTTATGTAGACTGTTGTTTGCATTTTCGTCGTCTTTTTATCATGATGTTTTCTTTCTCTATTCCACTTATGGCCTTTAATTGTCCATTTGGTATCTGCTTCTACCAATAAAACTATGTATAAACAAAGAAAGAACTTTGCCTCTTTGACGTTCATTTCAGTCTACTAATGACCATCAAAATGGGTCGAAATAATCAATTTCTTGAGGTTTAATATTTTTTTCTTCAAAATTTCAGTAAAAAGATCAAATTCTACAGGAATGTATTATTTAAAGGGGCGATAGCTACGAATTCGGCATAACAATAAAATATTTACATGTTTACAAAAGCGGAATATAGAAATAATATTTCGCTATTAGCAGTCAATTTGGTCTAATTTCATCAAAATAAGCTAAAAAAAATTCACAGGTGTATTATTGACTTGCAAGTCAATAATTCAACTAATTTGAATCCGTATTTATATAACCTTTAACTCAACCTTTAGTGGAAACGGGTTGCACATGTGATCTGCATGGCATGTGGTTCATTCACTAAAAAGACAAGAATGTCAACATTGAAAAGTGAAATCAGGGAGACACTAGAAACAAAATTTGTTTTGACTGGTCCAGCCAACAAAAATCATTCTTAGGTAAAACGATGATTTTACATATATATTTAACCATAACATAAAATCAAACAGAACTTCAAAATCCGGTTGCACGTGTTTGCTATCTATTTATATTTATGTTTATACTAGGTTAAATGACTGTCGGCAGTCTTCGGAGGTCATCTCGATGGACAACTAGGTGGCGTCTGTTCTATAATAATACGCACGAAATGCTGATACATTATAGCGAGCCCGTGCACTGTTAATTGTTTCTTTTGGACTTTTTGTGATTTGAATATACGTATATGCTGTAAATAAAGTATCAGAATTTGGGTCAAATCTGTTAACACGAATTTGACGGCTAATGCCCGTTTAATATATTGATATTGTATTGTTATGTATACATATATTTCTCTATTTCTATTTTACATAATAAAAACCCTGCTTCAATCACCGAAATATTTGTGCATTTAATTTTCATAGATATTTTTTTTTTTTGTGTATGAATCATCAATATAGTTTTAATTTCAACCTGTGCATACACAGGCACTTGTGGTAACTTCTAAACAATTTCACATGTAGAACTGCATTGTTATTTTTGTCATGCATTGTCGTTCTCAAAATTTGAAATATTACAGTTTGATATGTATTGAAGCATTGTATGTCAGGGGATATTATTTATTGTATGTACAAGCAAGTTTGACATAATAGAATCTGTGGAATCTGTAGCAATCATCATTTTCGTTATAAAAGGAAAACAATGATCTATCTGCATATTGAATATAGTAAAACAATCTTACACTTTGCGGAAAAGTAATAAGCATAACAGTTATGATATGCATATAGACATTGAGTTTTTCTTGGGAACGTAAATTATTACGTTATCACCTCCATAACTATTTGTGTGATGCGTATAAAAGTTTAAACAGATAAACAATGTGGTTGATAAGCAAAATGAAGTTTTTGTTATTCCAACTTACCAAACGATATTTCGGAAATTGATTAAGAAAGAAAGGTACAATGTTGCTGAATTGCTGACATAAAGTTATGATTAAATAAAAAAAAAGGAGTATTGTATGTTCTTATAATGGAAAAATACAGTAAATATTTTATAAAGTAATTTTCGATCATAGATAAATCTTACTATGTGAAAACCTGCCATAGTTTCAATGAATGCAAATGGTATAACGTCAGAAGGTACATAATCGACATGGGTTAAAGTAAGTTTGAAATAGGGTTCAAACCCCTTATATCAGGTTATAATCAAAAAGTTGAATGTCTGTGTACAAAACGAGCTGAAATTAGATTCTCGAGTAACCGGTGTCGATGAGATATAATGTCATGGGACAAAATACTACTGTCATTAAGAAGTTCGAAATACTATATATAGATGTGTTAATAATTTTTGGAAGCATTTACATTCATTTTATGCAAAAAAATCTGTAAAAAAAATAACTCATTTTTTTATTTATAGTAATGCCAGTATGCTATCTTCATTCAAAATAATCTAGTTCGAGCTCGTTCAGATCAGTAAAAGTGTTCAGCAGAAATTTTTATCTGTTTGTGCATGTATGCAACAAATTATGAACATGAAACAAAGAATTTTTCTATATTAAAACATATCTCTTTCCCAAAAATTGCATGAACATTGTATTTTTTATTGAAGAGGAAATATAATTATCACTGCAGTGTTCCTGAGGACATAAATTCAACCTTTGATTAAAGCAGTTTTGAATGTTTAGTCCGCCCATCTTTTGTTTTCAAATATATTAGTCATCTTTATATTTGACGTGTTTGTAGATATATATTGGACTAAGTATTTCACATGATTACATTGTTGTAAAATAAAGAGTAGCATTCAGGTTGTGTTTTGTTCGTTATATCAGATATATTCATGCATGCGTTCCATTTTTTTTTTATTCATATATTCCCAGTTGCTCATTTAGTATCAAATTGTCTCAGTTTTCTATTTCCCTACGTAGTTCATCGGAGGTATGAATGTGATTTGAAATGAGGATCAAATAAAGAGGTCAGACAATTTTTCCTTGTATTCACTTATCCGCTATGTTAATTTTCAAAAGGTCATCGATTCATTAAAAAATAATCATTATCATATAAATGTTTTCGGCTTTGAATAATAAGCAATATTATATCAAATTAATAAAACATTCAATTGATTTATAAATACTTATATATGTCTCAAAACTGCAATTTTAATCAATTTTTGACAATGTTTAAATAAAAAATGGACAAGAAAAGAATCCAAAACAAAACCATAATTTAACTAAGCATAAAAGATTTTGGTTCCGGGCGCCTTTCCATAGAAACTTTTACAGGCAATCATTGATATTTTCAAAAGTTTAGATAATTCCAGTCGATGACATCAATGTTTCCAACTTTGAGTATGCGAGTAAACAAATACATGGGCAATTGTCATACCTCTTTGTACAAGATAATCAATGACGGAAATATGAGTAAAAATGCCCTATTCATATAAAAAAAAAACAAAAAAACAGCAGCACATATTATATTGCTTCTCTCGTCAGACAGAGCTTACTTTTGTATTGTTGAGAGAGCGAGATATCAAACTGCATGAAAGCTACATTTGGTATTTCAGTCTTACAAACAGACATATTCAAATATTACTTTACAGCATCATACGTTGTTAACAGCAACTTCTGACAACTTATCCCAAGAGCGAGCATATACTACGATAGTCAAAGTTTTGTGTATATTGCTATATTGCTATGTGTTTGGACATTGAGCCTTTATTTCAAACAACGCTCCTAATAGCTGATTTCTGCTATTAAACTTGAATTGTTTCTTTCGGCTTATATTCACAGAACTATTCTTATAATGTCGTGTCAAACGTTGACTTCTGTAACTTCCATAAGAATATTCTTATCAGGTGTTTCTCAGCAGTTGTTTTACACCGGATGCTCTTAAACTGTCTCTAATTAAAAGTGACTTAAACCTGATGTGTGTTTATCAGAATGTATCGTCTAATCGATATTTCCAGTAAAATGTTTTCTATAGGTTACCATTTTGTCAAACAACTACTTTTCTAATTTCTAGTCGCTTTTTACTCTGAAAAATAAAAAAACGATATCTAAGCAAAAAGATGAAATAAATACAAAATCTGACACTTATGCGGTTTAAGCATAAAGATGTACAGCGTGCAACACTACCTCAATGTCTTCTTCTTTTATTGATTGTTTCTCAAATTATCCCTTCATTTATCTTAAACTATTTGCAAATAATTTCAATATGGAAAAATCTCTTTAAAATGAACATGACCCTAAATACCTGAATATTAAGTATGTGATGCCAATTTACAGTGCTTACCTATATTTTTGGAATAATCTTCATCAGAAAATTATGAAATAACCTTCATCAGAAAATTATGAAATAACCTTCAGCATAAAATTATGAAATAACCTTCTTCAGAAAATTATGAAATAACCTTCATCAGAAAATTATGAAATAACCTTCAGCAAAAAATTATGAAATAACCTTCATCAGAAAATTATGAAATAACCTACATCAGAAAATAATGAAATAACCTTCAGCAAAAAATTATGAAATAATAGTCATCAGACGAATTCTAGGTATTTTATAATTATTGTCCTTGTTGTAAATGTAGTAGTAAATCAGAGCTCTATGTAGTAATGCCTACATATAAATCATAACTACCTAACACTCTGAATAAAGCTGAACAGATTAATAATTGGCTGCAATGGAAGTATGTGAATTTAAATCATGAAAATTATATAATTAAAACGGATATATTGCATGAATGATCTAAACATCCAAGTAAATGATTTGAAATCCAAGAAATTAGCAAAATATGATTTAAAAATTACCAGAATCAGAACCAATGATATTTTTTTGAACTTAAATATTTTTAAAAACTTAAACCTAAACTGCTCCCAAATGAGTAGTAATTATAACACCGCTGTACAATAGAATCCAAGGTTCCAAATGTAATAATAACGAGAAGTAAATAATAGTAATACTAAATATTTGGGGGAAATTATATACCAATTTAGAAACATTATAAAGACATGAAATTGTCTTTTTTATTCTGGTTTCTATGATGACTTTATTTATCATTTGATTATTTGTTTAATTGCTTTCTAAATATGTCTATTAGCTCAATTTTAAGTTTGTGAGAATTGCTTTGCTTTCAAGTGCCTATTTATATAAATTTTCATATTTTTACAGCTGCTGATCTGCCTTCGGGTGTTCCAGACAACTGTCCAGAGAATCGTTTGCCACATTGGCTGTTGTTTGAGATTTATGTGACAGTTCTATCTTAATTTTTATTTAAGCTTTCTAAAAAGATCTGTTTTATTTGCTTTATGCATGGCTGTATTCAGTTGTATGTTTTATAAGTGTATGATGCTTTGTTTTTTTAGTGGTTTTTGTATACGTTTTTATATTTGATAAAAGCTCATCAAAGCTTTTGTTTATATGTTTATACAATGTCGAATTCAAATAAAGTATCCTAGCTATCAATAAATGGTAACATTTAGAAAGAAGCAACATTTTGACAGGAATGTTTTTGGTATATCTATTTATGGTTTCATGCTTTGTTAATGTGTTTAAGATGTAGGTTTTGGTACCACATTGTTTTAGGTTCTTTCCTAGTGCTAAAGAGAAGGTTTTTGTGTATGCAGTTATTAAGGCAAACTTTGTGTTTTACATTATTTTGTGTCCGCTTGCTGGTATGCTGTATAGTCTGAGGTAAAAAAAAATACAAATGATATTTCTGAAATGAAAGAATTTTGATTTTTAAGGTGATATTTGAACTTTAGTCATATAATTCATATGTCCCTACGCGTTATTTTGTACAAAATTAAACATTATAAACTTATTGTGGCAAGCTAAATCAGCTTTGAACAAAAATATGTATTAATGTTAACAAGAGTGCACACGATGAAATGTCTCGCCTTCTTTACTAATCATTGATATTATGTTGATAGTCCTAAATATAAAGCTTTACTACAACTATCACACACACTTAACATGATCCAAGAAAATGAGGTCAAGGTCATATAAACCAAACAAGAAATACATGTACACCTTACAACCATTCAATACACTAAATATAGTTGACCTATTGTTTATAGTTTCTAAGATACAGACTTAACCACGAAAACTAAACATTGACCAATGAACCATGAAAATGAGGTCTAGGTCAGATGAACCATGCCAGGCAGACATGTACAGCTTGCAATCCTTCCGTACAACACATATAGTTGACCTATTGCTTATAGTATTAGAAAAACAGACCAAAACACAAAAACTTAACACTGAGCAATGAACCGTGAATTGAGGTCAAGGTCAAATAAAACCTGCAAGACTGACATGTACATCATAAAATATTTCCATACACCAAATATAGATGACCTATTGCATATAGTATTAGAAAAAAAGACCAAAACTCAAAAACTTAACTTTGACTACTGAACCATGAATATGAGGTCAAGGTCAGAAGACACCTGCCAGCTAAACATGTACACCTTACAATCATTCCATACACCAAATACAGTAGACCTATTGCATACAGTATAAGAAAAACAGACCAAAACACAAAACTTAACTATAACCACTGAACCATGAAAATGAGGTCAAGGTCAGATGACACCTGCCAGTTGGACATGTACACCTAACAGTCCTTCCATACATCGAATATGCTAGACCTATTGCTTCTAGTATCTGAGATATGGACTTGACCACCAAAACTTAACCTTGTTCACTGATCCATGAAACGAGGTCGAAGTCAAGTGAAAACTGTCTGACGGGCATGAGGACCTTGCAAGGTACGCACATACCAAATATAGTTATCCTATTACTCATAATAAGAGAGAAATTAACATTACAAAAAATCTTAACTTTTTTTCAAGTAGTCACTGAACCATGAAAATGAAGTCAAGGGCAATGGACATGTGACAGATGGAAACTTCGTAACATAAGGCATCTATATACAAAGTATGAAGCATCCAGGTCTTCCACCTTCTAAAATATAAAGCTTTTAAGAAGTTAGCTAACGCCGCCGTCGCCGCCGCCGGATCACTATCCCTATGTCGAGCTTTCTGCGACAAAAGTCGCAGGCTCGACAAAAATTGGCCACACACTGTTTGCAGGTTATTCATTATGGATGTGTTTTATCCTTGTGTTTATTCTGCCTGGCTGGTTTGTAGGCTTCGAAGGTCACAACATCAACCTTCCTCGATTTTATTTTTCAGCCATTAATCAAATCCTTAACCTATTACACTTCCATGCTCACCACAAAACACAGTCACCTCGCCCATCTTTTAGAAACGCAGTACAAAATGAAGATCTGACGATTACCTTGCTAAAATGATTTTCTCATAGTATGGGTATTAATATAGCCGATAATATACCATATATAAGAGATTTGTTTTTCCATTTTGATATGTTGTCTGCTTTGGTTGAAATTAACAACTTAGCCCTATTCCCACACCTTGACCATACTAAACCAACTTGTTTTCATTTCCGTACCATGGTAGTAATTATATTATCAATAAAGTGCTTCCATGCCCTTATTAATAATTATCAAAAACAAACAATAAACTGGTCTATACACTAGATCAAAATCATCTGGCTACCTCCATCCGTATGCGTGTTTTTATCTACACATAGACTTCTCAAAGCTTAGTCCTCTACTTAATATGATGGTTTTTTTTTCAAAGAAGTTGAAGGTTAGGGAAAGCGTGTAAATAAAAAAGATTCAGACACATTTAAAATTATGACAACTTAAGCTTGATCTTGTGTTTTTATTGTGCAAACTTTATTCTTTATTTGTTTTACAAAAAACACAATTCCAACGTTGAGAATAAAATATCATTTTTGAAAATGACAATTTTAAGCTTTCAAAGGGATTATTTTTTTATGACTTAAGAAAAATTAAATGTGTATTGCAAACTTAAGTTTATTAGTAGAACATATATGGTAATTGCAAATGAGTCTGTGGTATGCATGGAAACTACCCTGACGTGTCTTCACCGAAAACCTACAAACAATAACACTTAAAACACAGAGAATATCAAAGAAACTATGATTGAAGTAATAGCATAAAACAGTTGACAAAATAATGTACAAATAGCACAATCATGAATGCTGAATCCTAACAAATATCATCACATGCTTTAACTGTCACTTACTTCTAAACAAGACAGGAAGTTAGAAACTAAAAGTCAACGATGGGGGAAACCATACCAAAAGAAACTTCAAATTGTGTGAACGAGGACATACGTCATACAAATGACCCTATGAATGTGTGTAGCGAAAGCAGAAATGCAGATAAGAACATAAATTTGTGAACTCTTAACGCCAAAAAATCGGTCTCAGCATGAAGGAAACAAGTAAAACAGTAGTCAATGAAATGAGAAAATATAACATATGTTTACTAGCTAGTATAGGGTATAGGTGTAAGCAAATGTAGATGGACAACAGATGGGTTACCACTAACACGTTGAGACCATATTATACTCAGGACGAACAGACAAGCCCCATTAGGAAGTCGAGCTATTCTTAAGAAAAGAAGCAAAAATGGCTCTTCTACAATGGCAATCCATTGATTAGAAAGCTATAAAGGCACGATCCTACTCGAAATATTCAAAAATGTCATTGATTCAATGTTATGCACCTACCAATGACGCAAGTACTGAGGAAAAGACTAAATTCATCGACAAACTACAATCGCGTGTGTCAGCACAGTACCAGCATGTACGGTGTTTGTCTTGTAATTTGTGATCTTAAGGTGTGGATTAAACGCACAGAAAGTCACAGGACAGAAAGTCACAAACTTGATAGAACAAAAAGTCACAAATAATTTGTTTGAAATTGTTGGAATATATATATGGGAAATTTCTTTAAATAATTTCTTTTTATTACATATATTCATTTTACAGTCAACGAAATCGTTCATAATCACTGTGTATCATCGCCACCGGAAATTGGGTACTAACGAAGCGGAGAGAAATGGAAAAAAAAGTAATCAAGGTAAGAATTCATTCAATTTAAAGCATTTCTACTGATTTGACGAGGGTATCGCTTAA